CAGAGTGCCCCGCCTCTGCGACGCAGCCCCACCCCGCCGTTCCCAAGAGATCTTCAGCAAAGCCCACTGAATACACACGCAATAAGGAGGAGAGCAGAGTGTTCAAAGCCACCTCGGACGGGGTTCCAGCCAGTGTGCCAGACCTGGTGCCCGCCTCCTAGCTCCTGGATCACAGGTGAAGAAGCAGGGGCAGCGAGAAGTAGATCCAGGGCAAGAGGGTGCGCGGTTGGTTTTCACACCCAGGTCTGTCCAAATCCAAAACCTTTCCACTGGACCCCAGCTCTCCAAGGCCAAAGCAAACTGTTGGACAAATACATTTAATTTTTAAAAATGGGAAGTAGAGAAGAGAAAGTAATGGGGAAAAAAAAGCCAAATAAGTGGAAGAAAATAAGGAAGAAATACTGGTGGGATCTGAGGGCTAAATAGGTCCAGGATAAAGGATCCGTTTAAATAAATAAAGGGCAGATAGGATGCATGTCGAGGCCTGCCTGGCCCAAGACTGTCTCCTTCCTTCCACTCTTTGAAAAAGCAGAATGATCCCAGAGAAAAGACCTTTAAAAACTGAATTTAGGTATTTCTACCACCCAAAAAACCAGCTGGCCAACCTGCCCATACGCATGGCACCTTTCGTCAGTTCTTTAGTGTCTTGTCATTAAATATGAGCAAAAGGATCACCAGACATTTAAGAGACATTTCCAACGTTAAAAACAAGAGACAAAACAAATAAACAAAACAGTGAAGAGGAAATTGGGAAAACAAAAACAATTCAGACTCTAAAACAATCTATGAAGATGTGTACGTGTGTATATTTTTTTAACTTCAGAGATAAGTATAGCAGTTCCATTCTTGAAATAAGAGCTGGATGTTATTAAAAAAAAAAAAAAGGAAGAGAGAATAAAAATAGCTCTTTGGAATTAAATATATGGCAACTGAAATTAAAACTTCAGTTCAGATGTTTGAAATTAAAGGAGAGAAAAAAAAAAAAAAGCCAGAACTAAGGAGTGGTCAAGAGCACAGCGTGGGGATGAGATGGTCTACGTCAGAGCTGTCCTGAGCCCCCTGAAACCCCGCCTGCCTTGCCAAAGGGTCCTCCACCTAAGGAAAGAGCGCTCAGCTCTGGCTGCACCTGGGAATCACTTGGACAGCTTCTAAAAATTCCAAGGCCAATGAATTCAGGATTTCCAGGGTTAGACCAGGCATCCATACTTTTTAAAGCTCTCAAGGTCATTCCAATGTGCAGCCAAAGCCGAGAACCTCTGGGCAAACGGAAACAGCATTATAATTAAAAAGCACAAGCAAATGAAGTAAATAGGAATTCGAGGCAGGGCCACGCAGGATCTGGTGAGCTCCCTCTTGGAGGGAGTTAGGGTGGGTTAGGAAAGGGCTTGTACACGAGCCCCTGTGTTCAAGAAAGCATGCGTGTACTGACTGCATGCTGGCTGTGGCTTTTCCCCACTGACTTTGCCCCAAGTCCAAATTAGCTAATAAGTCATGTAACGGCTTACCCGCTTTGGTTGGTCTGGTTTACCCTGGGCATCACTGTTTGGAAGAAAACCTCAGAAATGAAACCCTGGGCAGAGAAAGGTGGATGCCCACCATCAGAACACGAGGCACTCAGCTAGAATAGAGAGTCCACAATGTGGACCAATTTTCAAATGCTCAGCATATGCTCGGCAAAGCATTAGGGACTCTACAGCACAGTAAGTGTTGCGTTCTCTTTTATTGATGATGAAACTGAGACTCAGAAAGGGATTGCCACCTGCTAAAGCTCCCACGGGCGGTAAGTGGTGGGGCCGAGATTTGAACTCAGGTCGGTCTGACTCATGTTTGGAGCCCATATTCTTCGCACTAACACCATGGCTCCCTTTAACTGGCCTCCTCACACCACTGAGGTAGGAAGGAAAGAGGCAGTGAGTAGACTCCTTCCTGTCCCATCCCAAGGCCACCCTTCAATCCTGCCCCTGGCACCTAACACACTGCCTGGCCCAGGGAGGCACTCAGTAAGGGTTCGTTGAAAGAACTGAATGATCCTAAGACCATCACCCTCATCAAAACCAGCCAAAGTGTCCCAAGAGGATCAAAGCTGAAGTAGTACAGGAGGCCAGGAGTGAAGCAGCTGGAAGAAACCAGAGCCCCAGACCCTCTTTTACAGGAGGTTGGAAAGGGGAAGATTCTAAAATTGAATCAAGGTGAACTATACTGGGCACCATTAAGGAGTGGGGGTCTCAGGCCCACCTTAGTCAGCATCTTTCCCCAATCTGTTCTCCACCTTGGGTGCTGTGACAATTCTCTTAACATCACTAAAGTTCCTTAGCATGGGCTCTTGGCATCTTATAAAAAGCATGTGGCCACCTGGGGACAACTCACCTTCCTGTCTATCTCAGAAAATTTTGCCTTCATCCTTCTCCATTGCCCACTGGGATTGATGGAACTCGATATTTGCCTTGTCTTTTGGGGAGGACATTCTAGACATAAGTGAGAGCCTTTGGGTCAAGATGCTGGAAGCTCCCACTTCCATGGGGAAATGCTTTGGTACTCAGAGGCACTTGTGCCTCATCAGAGGCCAAGGGCACACAAGAACATGATGAGTTTCTTAAGGACAAGAATCTCCAAATTGTGGGTGGAAGGCATAATGGCCAGCTCACTCTCGCATCTCCTGCTTTTGATGGAGTGTGGGTTTTCAGGGGGTTTACTGAGCTGGAAGGGCTGTGTGACAGGGCTGCGATGGAAGGATGGAGTTGATATCAACACACTCCTCAAAGTACCCTGGTGTGGGACTTCATATTGCTGCTCTCATGAGGACCACAGATGTGAAGCTAATAAAGTGGCCTAAGATGCTTCATAATGTACTGGTTCCAGGTTTTCCATCGTCCTCTGGGATCCTGGGGTGATCATATGTACTAAGGGAGGTAGTAGGAGAAGTCTGGTAACACCTGTCACCACACTGGACTCTTAGAGAAAGGTCTTCATCAGGAAAGCCGAGCAAAAAGCCCCACTGTAGACCTCTACCCACCCCTAACAGGGGCATAGGGACCCTGTCATCCCCAGTGTCATATGTGGTCAAACATCTTCCAATCATCTGCCCGAGAGTCACCCCTCTTCATCCAGCAGAGACACAAACAAATAATCTAGAATGGTGTTACTTATGCATCAAGAGACAAAGCAAATGAGCTTTATTGTTCCACCAACAGAAGCTCTCTGTTGCATTTCAGAACCTACTGAAACAGCACCCAGAAGAAAATCCTGTCCTAGTGGGCAGCCTGAGAACAGAGACCCCGGCACCCATTGAAATGATGAGGAGGTGAGGCCTTCGGAAGTGGCCAGCCTTAGTGATAGGCTTTGAGAAACTTTATGATGTGTATTTGCAGTGATGCTCTCAGGGTCAGGCCCTGAGTTCTGCACAAAGAGAAGGGATTGGGCAAAAAAAAAGCAAGGTCTCTCAATTGCCCATAAAATAAAGCCCTCCCTCCCCAGTGTGGTTGGTCTTCATGGTTCTCCATGAACGGAGCTCGGCTGACCTTTCCTGTCCTTGCTGCTCCAGCTCATCTCATGAAGCTCTCCCTATTGTTCTCACAAGTGCTGAAAAACGTCCCCGCCAGTATGCTTTCCGTTTGCCTGTCTGCCTCCCTAAATGGATGGAAACAACTTGAGAGTGAATGCCTTGTCATCATCCATCCCGATGATCCCCCTGGCACCTGGCACACACTGGGCACTTGGAAGAAGTTTGTTGACTTGGAATATAACAGAATGATCTCCAATGGGCTGGGTTTGGAGATGGCAGCATGATACTTGCCTGACTTTCTTTAGATCATACAAGCTTCCTAATTGCTTCTTAATTATGACAGTGTCCTACCTTATGAGTAGATCCAGTTGCTTCTTATGGCCTCCCCCAACCCTCCCACACATCTCCCTGTACAGCCTCAGCCTCAGCCGGGTTCACGTACTTGCAGTCCTCACTCTCCAGCAGGCCTCGGTACGTGCTGATCTCACACTCCAACCGGGCCCGGACATCCAGCAGCACCTGGTACTCCCGGTTCTGCCGTTCCAGGTCAGCCCGGATCTCAGCCAGCTGGCCCTCCACGTTGGTGATCAGGCACTGCATCTGGGCCAGCTGGGAGCTGTAGCGGGCCTCTGTCTCTGTCAGTGTGTTCTCCAGAGAGTCTCTCTAAGGCAAAAAGAAAGATGAAACTATAAGGAACAGATCTACTTTCATGGCCTGGTTTGGAAAGCCCTAGAAAGAGCCAAGTCTCTCTTTGGGGTTGGGAATGGCCCCTCCCTACCTAAGTCACTGCAGAAACTAAAACTCCAAGGGTCAAGTGACTTATTCAAGGTTAAGCAGCTGGTAAGTGATAGACCAGGGTTTGGACACAGGTCCATATGATCCTAAATCCATCGTTCCTCCTTCAACCTTAGTCTGGCTTCAGGCTTCACCAGGCTCCTTTCCTACAGCATCATCTAGAACAGTGGTCTTCAATCCTGGTTGCATGTTAGAGTCACATGGAAGCCTTTAAAAAACACTCAAACCCAGCAGAGACTCTGATTTCATTCTTCTGGGGAGGAACCTGGGCATGGGTTTTTTTGTTTTTCGTTTTTAATTCCACAGGTTGGATGGAGAAGCATGGATCTGGAAGGGCAGGCGAAGCCGAGAACAAGCATTCTGGGAGTCGTATTTGACAGTGGCCACCTAGCCCACGTCAGATTTGAGGCATGCCTGTTTCATCTCTGAGCGGGGCCCTGGGAGAAACCTCCCTCCAGGAGAGGTCCACTGGGTGAGCATCCGTGGTAGCCGAATCCAGGCCGTCTCCCTCTCCTCCTTCCTAACTGCCCGTACCTATGCTCGGTGCCACCTCTCTCAGGGAAGAGGTGCCCACTCAGCAGCACTCACCAGGCGGTGCTGGGCCTGCAGCTCAATCTCCAGCGTGTTGACTGTTCGTCTCAGATCAATGATGTCTGACTGGTATGTCTGGAGCTGCTCAGAGCTCGTGGCCACCTGCTGATTAAGCTCCTCCATCTGTGGTGGGGGAGACAGGAGAGGCTGGAGTGCCTTCCCAGGGATAGTGGGGGAGACCAGCCCACCTGTGAGAGGCCCACCTGCATGTTGAACCATGCCTCCACGTCTCTACGGTTGGTCTCCACCACCATCTCGTACTGACACCGCATCTCTTCTAGCATCCTATTCAGATCCACAGGGGGTACGGCGTCCACCTCAATGTTAAGGCGGTCCCCAAGCTGGCATCGGAGGGCACTGACTTCCTGAAAAGGCACAAGAGCCCCAAACAAGTGTAAAGTCTCGAGATCCAGGCTCCCCTCCCCAGGGAGACGTGAAAAGATGGAACCAAAGATGCTAAAGATCTGAACGTTAGAGGGGCCCTTTGCAGACTGCAGTTCACTCCACAGTGTTACAATGGTCTTCCGGCTCCAGCTGGACACCCCCATGTTGGGAGAAGCACTCCGGCTAAACACCTCCTGTCTCTGTGGCAGAAGCCAAGAGCAGCGTCAGGGTTTATTCGATGCCCTTGCACTAAGAGGGAAACTCGCGCCCCTGTGCCCCGGCCACCTGTGTTCATCCGGGAAGGAGGGCAGCAGGAGCCAGGCTCTGCTCTGCTCAAGGCCCAAGTTAGAGCAGGCGCCCTCTCGGGCTCGGCTGCCAAAGAGAGAAAGTTGTCGCTGGGGCTGCCAGGAGTGTGCGATAACACTTCATTAGTGGCTCTTGGTGAGGTTCCCAGTTCTCTGATTTAAGTGGGATGAGTCAGGTGCCTTAGGACACTTGGCGAATATGTGGTGACTGATTGTTACTTTACACTAAAGCCCAAAGGAACCCAGCCAGGATTCACAGGCACTTGTTCTTTCAAATCCCCAGTCAAGAAGTTGAGAGTCAACCCAAGGAAGGAGGGAAAAACACCAGCGCTCAGGTGGGCGTTGCAGCGCACAGGTGCGCAGGGTGGAGGGATTTCCCTCCGAGGACCTGCAGGAGAGGAGAAAAGTCGGAAAGGACTGACTTGCGGCTTTTGGGTTAAGTATGTTATATGCAAACAGAGGAGACAGAGGGATATGAGACAGTGGACAGAAAAAAAAAGAAAACCATTGTAGTTCAACTCTCCCTTTGGGGACACGAGGTCACCCCCAGCAGCAGCAGTCTGACCTAGCACAGCTGGACAGACAGTTCCATGCGAGTTCCAGAGCACAGCCCCGCTGTGGCTCTTGTGCCTTACTCTACCCCAGAACGTAGCTCTCATGAGAGAAACAAATGCAGTGGCAAAAGCGTCAGGCAGTCATACACGTCCAGGAAAAGCAGAAGGGAGGGCTAGCTGAGGAGCACCGACCAAGGGACAGGTGTTTCGCACCCCCAACCTCATTTAATTCCCACAGCAGCCCTGTCTGATAGTGTTATCCCCGTTTACAGATGTGGAGGCTCAGAAAGGTTAAATAAATTTGGCAAAGTCACAGAAACAATACGTGGCAGGCCTGGGAATGTCAACCCACATCTATCCAAACCCAAACACCATGTTCCTCTCATTCTGCTTCCCAGGGCCACCTGGGCTTGACTTCTGGTCTTACCTGCTCATGATTCTTCTTGAGGCAGAGCAGCTCCTCCTTCAGGGACTCCACCTGGGCCTCCAGGTCAGCCTTGCACAGGGTCAGCTCGTCCAGGACCCTGCGCAGGCCGTTGGTGTCGGCCTCCACCAGCTGCCGCAGGGCCAGCTCCATCTCGTACCTACACAAGGACAGGGACAGCAACCTAGGAGGTGAAACTGAATGCAGAACTCAGAGGAGACGTTGAACTGCTGGCACTTTTCCAACTCTCTACGAAATTAATGAAAACTAGCCAAGTGTGTGCAGGCCAAACTCACTTGGTCCTGAAGTCATCAGCGGCCAGCTTGGCATTATCGATGTGCACCACCATCCTGGCGTTCTCTGCCTTGGAGCACAGAATCTGGGGGTCAAGGTATACAAAGGGCGTCAGTCCAGGGTAAGAAGGATTGAGAACCCAAGGGAGGAGAAGACGGCAGCTGGTGAGGCTCAGCAGGATT